CGGCCACGCGCTCATCAACAGACAACGGTGTTGTCTTGGGGACATATATCGAGAAGACGAAAGCGAAGTGAGGGCTACTGTGCTATATGAAATCAATGACAAGTGTTCACCTTTGCGCTTTCTGTTTTTCGAGCCGGTTCTTTGATGCGGGGGACACGAGCAGGTGACCTACGATATCGTCAGTCTTCCTTACCATGTCAAGTAAAAGGGCCACGAGGTTGACTGCCAGCGGTTACCTGGTTGGTGCGGAATCAGCGGCTATGATTCCGCAAATCTGCTTAAGCAACGCTTCAAGATGAGTGCAGCGCTGCTATTCCGCTTGCTATAACAGACACTGACAGGCTGTTTCACAACCTGTCACGGTGTCTCTCATTGAAGCAGCGGAACAACACAATATATCAGGCATACAAGGCCACATGAAATGAACCCTTCACTGAAACTCCGACTTCCATTTGGACTTCATCGGCATGAAGCTTCGCTTCTCTGTCCGCGTTTTTGAGAGTATACCCATCGCGAAGGCGTACTCGCGATTGAATAACAGGAAAGACCAGTAGCGAGACATGCAAGGTGACCGAAAAAAGCATAGACCATTTGCTATTCTCGATGGGGTTCAGAAATACACAAACGCGTCACCACGGCTAGACGCATGGCCAGTTGCAATATAGGCTACCATCCCCATTGCCCGTCCCTGCACAGATCAGTGAAGGCACTTTTGCGTTACTTGCGGATGAAAGGCCTGCGCGAACGCCTTTGACTAAAGCTAGAGTCCTACACGAGTGAGCGAATGCACCATGTTTCCTTCCCGTTTTTCTCCCTCATCCTTCCATTACCCGTCCTCATTACCTCAATGTAGCGTAGTCCACCAGGCATCTTGCTAATTAGGCTTCTTGCGTATACTGTTTTCACTTTGTTTCCTTCCTATCCGCTTCCCCAGTGGAGATCAAGAAACCGGATCTGCTCAACCTCCGTGCCTCTTCGCGCTTTCTCTCTCTCTCTCTTCTGTGTGCACGCTCTCTCCCCAGATCAAAACCAACATAGACTGTTGAACTTAGTCACATATCGAAGTGAATGCTAAACAAAACCCTAGACAAATTGTAGTGATTGACTTCTCGTGAATATGGATAAATATGTGAGTCGCATAGGATGCAAGTGTGTGCCAATCATACTTGTGGGATTCAAACCAACTAGTTATTTGCACAGAAAAGCATGACCGCACAGGGTGATACACTGAAAACGTAAGAAGGGGAAACCCCAATGCTTGTTTTTACAGCTGAAGCAGTGGATCGCTTCAAATCGCCATCTCACACAATATTGTGAAGTACAAGACCTGCAGTTACCACAAATACAAACACAAGGACAATCAATTAGAAATTAGACTTTTTCTGTTTAGAGAAATTTATTCTCACAGACAGTGAACATCAATTACAATCCAACAGAACATTGCGACAGAACACAACATCCACAGACACACTTTTTCTCACCGTGAAAAAAAAGTGTAACTTGTAAGATGTGTTACAGGTGGCTTTTAAAACGTTGTAGTTGTAATTATCAAGTTCTTTCTTTCAGCCCTGCTTTTTTGTTCTTTTTTAGCCATCATACCCTCTTTTCCCGCTGCGGGCCAGCCAACCAGAACTAACTCCTATAGCCTTCACATCTTTCTACACGCCTTACTTACAATCTAACGTATTCTGTTCCGCGTCTTTCGCGTTAGAGCACAGCTTTTAGAAGCCCATTTGCGGGTTTCACGCTGTTTTAGCGCAAAGCCGAGGATCAACGACATCGACCTGATAACAAAGCGACCGCTTCCGACACGAGCGAACGATTTACTCTTCGAGTGCAGGGCGCGCAGAAGGCCGCGTTTCTGTGGGTTCCGGTTATGTGACATGCTTTCGACTATTTCCACTACTGCAAATGCGGCCTCTGTTTTTTTTTTAAATTTCACCCCTTGAATCTTCCCGAGGCACACTTGGCGCAACTTCGCGCATAGGTGCAGTTTGGACGCAATCGGTAAAAGTGCGTCGTCCAACACTGCTGGTAAACGAACTCGATGAAGCAGAGACTCAGCGCTGCAAAATTTCGTGTTATGGAGTATCTAATCATTGCTGATTTTGCCCAAGATATTTCCGATCTTTTTTGTTGTAAAGTGTGGTTATTCCGTGATGATTGTGTTTTTTATACGCTGGTTAGCACTAAGCACCACAATAGAGCCGTAAGATAACGCAGTTATGTATTCTGCTTGGCACGTTCTACCGCAGTATTCTAGCTCAGTATTTTACCAGAGTATTCAAGTACTCAATTACTGATCCACAACAAAGTTTGTAACTGCTTCGGAAAAACGTCGATACAGTCATCATGTCAGGCAAGGAGTCAGATTGGCCAATAATGTTGCGTGGCAAAAGCCTAATAGATTCACAACGTGGCTTCACAGCGTGATAACTGCATAGCATTTGGGTAGTTAAAAGCTGCCAACCCAACAAAGTGCTGAGTTAATCATCATCATCATCATCATCATCATCATCAGCAGCAGCAGCAGCAGCAGCAGCAGCAGCAGCAGCAAGAACATCATCATCATCAACAACAACAACAACAACAACAACAACAACAACAACAACAACACTATTAACAAATTGTGCAGCTACGTAGGTGCAGTTACGTGGTACTTCGCAACTGCACTTGCAGTAGGTGCGCCAGGAGAGTGACGCCCGCAGACGTTCATTCCCTCGCAGCACGGTTGAGGCGCCCACCCATAAGCGAAGCATGAGGAGCGAATGCATATGCGATGAAAACGAGGCCAGATTACGCTACCACGTTGCACCCTCAAGTGAAAAGTCGCTGGGCAGGCACCACGTAATGCGTAGGACACGCAAGCGGGGGTCAGTCACATCGAGCGACGGAACCGGTGCCAAGGGTGGGAAACACGCAGCAGCCGAGGACGGCAAAAAGTACAAATAAAAATAAATAATAAGAAAAATGACAAAAGTGGGAAACCTCTGTAAGCATAAGACGGACTCAGTACGCGCAAGCTAGGACAAATTGGCGTTCAATTGGAGGAGTATTCCTCCAACGGTACACATAAAAAGATGGGCTGCTGATAATGATGATGGCGATCGTGATCCCAGCTGCACTTCTAACATAGCGTTTTCATCCTCACGAAAAGTTAATCGATTTTAGGCACTATCGCGATGGCAAAAAAGACAGAAATATTGACGAAATATGGCAATGACGTTAAAAATAGAATTACTGAGAGCCTAATATATACACCATATAATTAAATTATCATATGTTCTATAACTATCTGCGTTCCACAACGAGGCTTGGTGGTGTAATGGATTAGGCTACTTTTGAGGGAAAGAAGATGCATTTCACGGTGCGTCTTAACCACTCGTCGCTATTGAAAAATCTATATTAAAAGACGAGGTAGCAGCCTAAAATGAATTATTCAGATATCCTATAATGGCCTTATCGACGCAAGATCCTGCCGAAACCAAGCATAAAGCCCGAAACTCGGTCGGCTAAAACAAAAAAAAAAACAAAAAGCTTTTTGCTAGCAGGAAACGGCAATTTCAGGCTGCCGTTTGCGTGAACCTATACATACTATATTGCTACTACGTACATAAATTCACTCAAAGCACACGGAGAAAGGCGAAATTTGAAACTTGATAGTTAGATCAGTTCCTCACTCATCCTGCGCGCGGAGATGACCATTTCGCAGCAATTCAGAATCACCAATAAAGTTCGAATAAAATACAAAAACGGAATAGGTACCGTTAAACGGGTAACAGTCTGCGCTTACAAGAAACAGTGATAATTATGGTGGGCCTCGAGAGTATTGAATTACCGCGCGTGTGAGGTTGCGCACAAGAATGGGAATTATTGAGTAAACGCAGCCCATATCAATACACCGCGCCTGAAGGCTATAGTTGCGTGGTTGCGGTTGCCCCGCTCATTGTGAACTAACGAATGCTAAGTCAGGCAGTGTATGTGTTCATGATGAATCGAATCAACGAATCTTCTGAGCACATGTAAATGGAACATACTTGTTTTAAGTGAACAGCATGGCGAAAGGAAGGACTAATGAGGCGTATTCGGGGTTACGATATGAGTTATCCTTCAAAAGTTGTTCAAGCGTTTTAGGCTTGTAAGTTATGACGAAAAAAGAGATAGATTTCGAATGTCTCCGAGGCTTTTAGATAAACTTATTTATTCAGAAAAGGGAGCCCAGTACGTAGTTGTTGAGGTGAGGAGAGAGGGAGGGGAGGTAGGCAAACACTAAATCACACGCGGCGAACTGCTAGTATCCCTAACGTGTGTCAATGTGACAAACTCAAAGCAATGTTCATGTGTGTTCTTTAGTATAGCTTACAGGCCAGGATCTAGAAAAAATTGTGTCGTTCTTTCGACAAGCATATATAGCAAGGTAGTGTGAAGTGAGCTGCTACAGGTCAAGGGCGTAGCCGCGGTGGGTGGGGGTAAGCGGAGATAGTCCTCTTATACTTTATGCATGTTGTGCGTTCGTTTGTATGAGTGCGGGTGCATACAGCCATGCAGTATTGAAAAATTCTCGTGGCGGGGCCATTAAAACCCCCTACGCCCTTCCCCCCTCTTTGCAACGCCAGTTCCACCCTCCGTTTTTTATTAAAATGATAAATAGGAGAAGTTGATGCCTTTACCACGCAACGCATTACGCACCCCCCCTCTCCCACCCTCCCTCCCACACTCCGGCGTACGCCAATGTGCTCGATCTGGACTATAGAGAGGCAAAAGGTACACACAGAGAGCGCAGGTGCATCAATGCCACTCTTTCTGCCAGCAAGACGCTGTCAGTTATGCATTATGTCAGGCGTAGCGGCTGTGCTTGCTCGTACCTTGCTTTTAAAGCCACGGGTCTCGTTTTAGCAGACACGACACGCGCTGCTGAGCAACGTGAATGTAAAAAAAAAAATAGAGCACGCACCAACACATGCACGCACACACGGATACACACACCAAGAACAACTTACCGGGTGGGCACATGCACTCTGATTCTGGGATATTTCTTCTATTCCTAGTTAGAAGGCTCTGAAACAAGAGAAAAAAACACACACAGGAAAAGAGTCAGCCTCATATAGCACATCGTAGAGTCGCTGCATAGCCATTAAATACTAAGAATAAATCATTATATATATATATATATATATATATATAATAGATGATCAGAGTTTCTTCTGGCTACCGTAATAAAAGTTATAAACTTCGAGAATAGTGCAGTATAGGAAACAAAACAATACAAAACAATAAATATTTTATTGTTTTGTTTCTCATACTGCACTATTCTCAAAGTTTATTACTATATATATATATATATATATATATATATATATATATATATATATATATATTGCAATCAACACGACATGCCCATGCACACGTGCTGGACAGGTACCTGCTCCACTCCAAGCAATAGAAACAGTCTTTTAAGTGCTATACTAGTCAACCTGTTCTTATGTAAGGTCTCAACCAACACAACGTGTTTAACAATAGGCTTCTATACGCTGTCTAATTTGTTTTGCATCTATTACCATCAATACGACGTTTGTAAGTCTTATATACACCCAATTGGTGGTGGGCAGACAGTAAACCATACAAAAACTTCAATATCTTCCAAACTCTAATTGATCACGTTTTGACACTGCGTTCTTTGGTGACTAGGACCTGTGAGAACCAACGTACAAGTCAGCGACTTTTGGTCTCGCCGCTTGCATCCAATCATGCAAACTAAGCTCAAGAAGAATGTTCATGCGGTGGACCAGATAGCGCGTTTTGCCTATTGGCCAAACAAGGCATGAAAAAGCGCTCACAAATGATGACAGCACTAGACAGCCAGAACGTCCCTGCATTTCACTTTTCACCGAACACAGAAATCCATCATTATAAACGCTCGTCTAACGTACCAGGTTCTTTCGTAGAGGTAAAAGTTATTATCGTGTTTTTTAATATAAGGGAGCCTTCCTATTAAACTGTTTTGTTTCCTTGAGAGATCGAAAACGTGTGGCCATAAGTGTTTCTTTCACTTCCAAGGCAGCCGAGTATGCTCGATTTTTTTTTTTTTTATGGCAAAGTGGCGATGACCACGTCTGGCGTGACCTCGGCGGTGTTGCACATAATAGCGAGAACGGTTTATTCTATTTTAGATGCAAAGCTTGTTACAGTCGAGCTTGATCCGGTATGCGGCGTGACCACCCTTACTGCGTATGCGCGTTCCCTTCCCCTCTATCTAAAGCCCCTAAAACTTCGCAAAGTAGCGACATATGTGGTTATTCACGCGCCTTCTCTCTTTTCCCCCTCCTCTGACCTCTCCCAAGGCCGGCGCCGCATCGGTATTGGCCAGATTCCATCACGCAGGACCACTCGCAGTGTTTGTTTATGGTCGCTCGCGACTGCCATCTTTGCTCTCGAGGCGCGGACCGCTTGGGGTACAGCGCATATGTTTTGACGCATACGAACTTGTCCTTCCGTGTGCGCTGTGCTGTGAAATACTTGTTACATCAGAATGTCGTCGCTATTCGTCGCCGTTAGTGGTTGTTGCACCTTCTGATGACCGAACAAGTCTAGTGACGGCCGAAAGCTAATTATGATACCACCCGTTAAGCGGAACGAGTTCCGACAAAATGCATGGTTATGCAGAATCGGAAATGAGAACTTCAGGCCGAGATTTTCGAATCCACTTTGAGAACAAAGTTGCGCGTTCCTCATTATGAGTATGGTTCGATGTTTGCTCAATATCAATGCCTGCTGTGACACCGTAGCGCCGTAGACAAGTCACAGGTAATTGTGCAGGACGTCACAATCTCTCACTCAGGTTTCATTGACACTATATTTATTTATTTATTTATTTATTTATTTATTTAAAATTCCTTACAGGCCCTTTACAGGGCATTGAGTAAGGGGGGTAATTGGTGAAGTTTTACAGATCACACAAAATTAATTCACGCGTTACAAAGCGTATCAGCACAATGAAAATATGACGCGGTTTGCAATATAAGTTGAAGTTAACAGGCGATAACAAGAAAAAAGAAAAAGGCGATTTCATAGTGCACACACGACAGTGGGAACCGAATACAGTCATTATAGCATATGAAGGCGACATCAACCAAAGATAGCCAGCTGGCTTTACCTCAACGACGTGCCGTAATTTGTTTATAAGTTGCAGAACATACAATAGAAAAAGCACCAAAAAACGCAGAACCTATGCCCATATACAGAAAACATTTCCAGTGTGCAACAAACATAATCGGGCACAAAATCCGACACTAAAAAAAATGTGCGATATAAATATATATATATATATATACATATATATATAAATATATATATATATATATATATATATATATATATATATATATATATATATATATATATATATATATATATATATATATATATATATATATATAATATATATATATATATATATATATATATATATATATATTGGGCAAAAGAAAACACGCGGACCCTGATAGAAATAGAATAAGAAATAGGGAATAAAGGTTTCAGATGTGGGGAGAAAGATACTTTAGAGACAGCAAAAATAGAAAACGCACAAAGTAATTCCTATCTAATGCCCAAAAACATACGCATGATCCCCGGAATTCAAAGGTAGACGCGTGGCGTGACCGACAACTCCCCTAAAATATATTTCCTGCATGCATTGCTTCGAGCACAGGTTGTTATTAGAGAAACCATTTTTTCAAAGTAAGCATACGACGTTTCTGAGCCTGTACGCATTCGTTTCGGGGGAGAACAAGATGGTGGGGGACGCTATACTCATCAAGGGAACGAAACACTAGCATTTGCTTGTATATGTAGGTCGTGGTCATCAACGTAATGAATCGCGACACGGAATCTATCATCTAGCAATCCACAGCGTCCTTCCGCGTATAAAGCAACCTCGACATGTCATAAGCGCAGCCGTAATGAATATAAATACGTACAGCACAATAAACATAGAAAGAAAGACGAAGATGTGCATCTATAGGTAAAGAGCATAAAGCGATGGACTCTGCGCTATCTGCGTGAGCTCATGCCTGAGCGAAGCGCAATGTTCCGCCGTTGACACTCCATTACTTTCAGGCAGGACATAAATCCGTGCCTTGACGTCTGTGCGTGTTTGTGCGTGTGTGCGCGCGGCAATAGCTGTGAACGCCACAGCAAAGCAGCTGTTTCTTTTTTATAACACTCAGCCGCGTTTTGCAGTAATCGTGTTCAGCAGTACAGCATTTGTCCCTCGCCTTTCTTCAGTTCTTTTTGCAACGTCTGCAGAGTGTTTATGAGGCCTCGCCAGATACGATGAATATTCGGCAAAACGCAGTGTGCCATGCACCAATGAATAACCGGTCCCATAAGCTCGCCAGTCCTGTAACTGCAGCCTTGACAAGGGACAGGAGGGAACTTTTCAGTGTCCTCGGGGCACTGCACTATGGACTGGGGTGATCCCACTGATAATAATGGTGTCTGGGGTTTTATGTTTGAACGCCACAGTATGATTACGAGAGGCTTCGTAGCGGAGAGCTCTGGATGTGTCGACAATGTTCTTTAACGTGCACTGACATAGAACAATGCACACGCCTCTGGCATTTCGCCAGCAATGACCGCAGCAATGAAGTCACTCAGTATTCTAATGAGAACGGCCAGTGTCTTGTGACTTCACTTTCGTAAACTGACGATGCGGCTGGGCTGCTCTGAACGTCCTGTGAATGTACTTAACGTCAGTAGGACATCCTCACCATGTACTGTTTACGTTCATTGGTCCCAGACCGACAGCTGCATTCACCACCGGAGTTCAGGCCTAGTCATACTTTTTATTGTTCGTTGTCGCACATTTACCGACTCCTACGGACGAAAGCCATTCTATGAGTGTATATATGAGCCATATATGTGTCATATATAACAGCCATATATATATTGGGTACGCGGGTGCTGAACAGACTGAGCAATCGTCTGATATATCAAATGTTGAAAACAAAGTTGGCCAATGCACCAAAAAAAGCCCTCTGCAGAAGGCGTCACTCGGGCTGCTTAGGTTTCTTGCTTCTAAGTGCCTTAATACTGTTAAGACTTTTAAGAGCCCCTCACGTTGCTGCTATTCAAGTCTAAGCGTTAGTTTCTTGATGCTCGTCGCTCTTTTTCTGTTTATCCGCTACCGCTCTTCATCTCTTTTCACCACGCATCCTCACGACACTCCAGGTTAACCAATCAGTACTACTTCTGGTTAACTCTTTTCTGTAATTAACCACATCTGCCTGATATGGCATCATGGGAAAGGCTGCGCGTAACCAACAGAGCAGCCTGCTGACGGTAGAGGTACGACAAGCACGTATTAAACAAAAGAATATTCGCTCTCTCACACTCTAGATTCGTTCGTCCTGATCAATCATGGTCGTCTTCGCCTTTCCCTCCCGCCTCTTTAGCATGCGGATGTCTTACACTGGCCATAGTTAAACATCCCCGGAAAGTAAAGATACGTGCACCGGCAGCCATTTTGTGCGCATGTATCCAAAGAGTGGTCGCCCGCGGTATATGGCCTTGGCGCTCACACTGAACTTGCGGCCGGAAGAGGACTGTGGTAAGACACTGTGTTGCCTTCTTTGAATCTGTCTTTTCAGCGCTCCTTATACCTATGCCGTCGAGTCAACTGATAAAAAACCAGGGGGTCAGGCTAATTGCGTTCAATCGATATTTCATAGTGAGTAAACTTCTCATTTTACTAACAACAAAAAGTCAACTCAGAACAGATTTCTTCTGAAAAGTCTGCTATGAAATAGGATTCAAAGCACACCTCATCACTGTGGTTTTATTCACAAAGGTGGCCTTATGCTCAGCCCCGAGGCTCTTGATTTCATCAAACTGTTTCGTGAATGCACTGTAATCAAGCGAAGAGCTTTCAGCAAGTCAATATCAGTCATTAACTTCGTCATAGTCTTCTCTTTCTTCGTCATAGTCTTCTCCACGCTTTGCATCTAATGTTGGTTGTATATTTAGGGCCCGATGGGAATCCAGTTTCCTGTTTGCAGA